ATGATAGTATCATGAAGTTGCTGCATATCCATGATGTGAATCTCCCGTTCTAGCACATTCCAAAGCTACTCTATTGGATTGAGATCTGGTGACTGTAGAGACCATTTAAATTTAGTGAATTCACTGTCATGTTCAAGAAACTAGTTTGAGATGATTTGAGCTTTGACATGGAGTGTTATCCAGCTGGAAGTATCTCTCAGAAGATGGTACACTATCTGTGGTCATAAAGAGATGGACTTGGTCAGCAACAATACTCAGGCTGGCTGTTGTGTTTAAATTATGCTCAACTGGAAAATATTCACCACACCATTTCAGCACCAGCAGCCTGATACAAGGTAGGATGTATCCATGCTTTCATGTTGTTTACACCAAATTACCATCTGAACGTCGCTGCAGAAATCCAGCCTCAGTTTCCAGTTCTTATCTGACAGGAGTGTCAGCTGTGTGTGTTCTGCTGCTGGAGCTCTTCTGCTTCAAGGTTTGACAAGGTTTGTGTGTTCAGAGATGCTCTTCTGCACCTAAGTTGTAAACTTGGTTGAGTTTATTTGAGTTACTGTTATGGTGCATTCACACCGGACACGAATAGCGCGTCAGGCGCGAATGATTTCAATGTCAAGTCAATGCAAAGACACGTTACGCGCGTAAAAAATCCCTGCACCGCGTCAAGTTCGCGCGAATTGAGCGTCTGGCGTGTTAAGCGCGAATGATTTAGTTACTGTGCGTTCACACCAGAGACGCGAATAGCGCCTAGTTTGACGCTTGACCACTTTGTGTTAAAGGGTTAGTTCACCCAAAAATGAAAATTAAGTCATTATTCACCCCCATGCTGTACCAACCCCTTAAGACCTTCGTTCGTCTTCGGAACACAAATGAAGATATTTTTGATTAAATTTGAGAGCTGTATAACTACCACATTGGCTCCTAAGGGACTGCCTCTTGACGGCCCAGAAAGTCAATGAAGAAAATGTTTAAATATCCCAAGTGACTACCGTGGCTCAACTATATGTTTATCAAGCGACGCGAATACTTTTTGTGCGAAAAAACAAACAAAAATAACGAGTTTATTCGACTATTTCTTTTCTTCCTTGTAGGCCAGAAACGAGACTTCCTTAGATTTCCACGACGCATGCGCGAGAATTGCGATCTGAAGTAGTGCAGAGCGGCTCTGAAGTAGTGTAAGCAGATCGCAAATCATGCGTCGTGGAAATCTAAGGAAGTCTCGTTCTGGCCTACAAGGAAGAAAAGAAATAGTCGAATAAACTCGTTAATTTTGTTTGTTTTTTCGCACAAAAAGTATTCGCGTCGCTTGATAAACATATAGTTGAGCCACGGTAGTCACTTGGGGATATTTAAACATTTTCTTCATTGACTTTCTGGGCCGTCAAGAGGCAGTCCCTTAGGCAGCCAATGTGGTAGTTATACAGCTCTCAAATTTAATCAAAAATATCTTCATTTGTGTTCCGAAGACGAACGAAGGTCTTACGGGGTTGGTACAGCATGGGGGTGAGTAATTAATGACTTAATTTTCATTTTTGGGTAAACTAACCCTTTAACTCTCGTGTCAAAAGTGAAACTGACGCACGTAAAAACAAAAGTTTGAAGCGAAATTTACGCACGTGACGCGCGTCAGAATTGAAATCCGTTGGCGGCCATTTTTTTTTATGTCGACCGAGCATTCATCGAGAGAGTCACCACTCTGTGTTTACTCTGGAGAGCAGAACAGCTGCGTGGGGATCATCGTCCCCGTATATTTGTCTCCACCTGACCCTTCGGAGGTGAACCGTTTGGCGAGTTTCACCATTTGCTCGCTCCAGGAGCTGCGCTGGATGACGGCCGCTGTCAGCAGTACTTCCGCCTGTCACGCGCCCAGTTTGATGACCTGTTGTCCTGCATCGGAGCGAGGATCATCCTCGCCCTCATCATCTAATCTAGCTGTCATTTATTTTTGTTTTGATGATAAATAGAGCCAGCCTTTAAAAGTTATTAACCTGTCCTGTGATTTTTTTTTCTTCTCTTTCATGTCCAGACACGAACTTATGCACATGTATGTTGGTTGTCTTTACATCATAATACTATTTCATATAATCTAGATATGGAATGAATAACATTCAATACAAAATGAAGATGTCTTGTACATAGAAATAAAGTTTTAAGAGATAAAATATTTGCTTTGTTGTGTATAATCCCAATATCTGTGTTGATGAGAGAATCAAAGTGTATGCGCCACTGACTTTAGACTACGTCTTTTCTGGTCAGTGGCGGAATTGTTTTCTCGACCCGCCCAGGGAGCGCAAGTTCATTCCTAGTTTACCGACCTGCGTCTGTGGAGGGAAAAGCCCGATTTGCGCGGGTGCAAAATAGGAATGATAAATGCGTCAGTGTACAAAGTCATTTGTGCCGGGTGCAAGATAGGGCCCTATATCTGAATTCTATGGTAAAAATGGGGGCTTTTATAGCTATAAACCACGCCTATACTGGTGGGCTATGACACGGTGGGCTATTGGTTCACCCATCTTAGCCGCCTTGCCATAGGTTTGTGCAGTTGCTGCAGCCAATGAGCATGCTAGATGCTCAGCTATATGTCTGCTGTGCATCTGCACTGCGTTTTAAAAAAATGTGGCTTTAATATTCTTGAGAAAAGGAGTTTTCCCATAGCGTAAGCTAACTTACGCAATACGGGAGACCTGTCGAAAGGGAACTGAGCAGGTCATGGGGACTTGGGCAGATAATGAATGAATGTCATTCTCCAAAAAGAGTTTTCTAAGGCCGTTGCTCAGTATGTTTTTGCCTCCAGCTGCTAACCAAACCTCAGTGTCTTATCTCTCTCAGCTGTACGTTCACTCTGGCATTAATTATAGACAAGGCTTCCAAGTCAATTCAGGAGACAGTGCAAATTAAGGTCACTGATGTGCGATGCGTATTAGGCTGTGCAGGCAGTATAGAACAGAACACAATATTCCTTCTCCTAATCTATGAAAAATGCAGGAGGTGTGAGGTAACCACAGAAACGAGAATCGGTACAAAAAAAAATTAGAATATTCACAAGCTCTTGGAGCAAACAGACAAAAATAGCTGTTTGTTAACTATGTTCCTGTCACTTTGCTAAGTGTTCTTTTTTTAGATTAAATGAAGCAGAAAAACAAATATTCACTTTATTGCAGATTGTGTTTCCACACAAGTGAGACTAACGGCAAAATAATACACTACAGCAAGTGCGCTGTCGTCTTGAACATACTTATATGCGTTCATTCAGATGACATAGGGATAAAAAAGTTTCCCATGTGTAAAATGAAATACTCGGCTGTATCTTTAATGCTGTGGGCCTAATTTTCTGCCAGAGGTCCTGGACATCTGATAAAATTTCAACAGATAAAAAATCTAAACCTGACAGCCTGTGCTTGAAATCGTATAATGGGCCATGTTTGGATCTTCAAAAAGGACAGTGATCCAGAAACAAACATCAAAATCAAAACAAAAATGGGTCGCTGAGCACAAAACCAAGCATCTGCAAAGGCCATCCCCCAGACCTGAACCCTAAATGAGTGTGTTTTGGGTGATTCTGTATGGAGGAATGGTCTCTGATCTCTTGTCAGGTGTTCTCCAAACGCTTCAGGCATTATATGAGAAGATTCAGGGCTGTTATCTTGGAAATAGGAGGTTGCAGGTTGCAAATAAAAGGGGGCAAATAAAAGTTCCCAATGTGTTTTGGAGAAACAAATTTATTTCATATGAATTTCATGTGATTTCCCTCCCACTTCCAATTCGTTTACTTCAATAAAAGGTTCGATTTTTGCATTTTTTAAAAATAAAATATATATATATATTTTTTAAATGCAGATTTATTTTTACAGCCATCTTTGATCATATTTACCAAGTGGGCAAATAACTCTGACCAGTATATAGTATATACTGTATATAGTGTTAGGGGCATGCATTACAAGTAATGTGCTTTACTTATTCAGATTACTTTTTTAACACAATACTTTATAACATAGTAATATTTGAGTTACTTTTTATTAAAAAAACTAATGCAATTTACTTGATCAATTTTAAACTACTGAATTAAATTTCTTTCTTCTCCATAACATCCGCACTCATGCTTGCGCGGAAACTACAAAAAAGCACAAAAGTAACAAAACACATTTCTTTCATTTTCCAATAAAAAGAGTTGTACAGGTTAAATAACATTATTGTTCAGAGATCCTTTGTATGGCAAGCATAGCTCTAGGGATCAGGAAATATTCTTAGTGATCAGAGAATATAATACTCTAAATGAGTTTTTTTTTTTTTTTTTTTTAAATAAAGGTACATGTTAAATAGGCTATGTTGTTGAAAGTCCCCCGTATTTCCCTTGTAGTCAATCATTCTATCCCTTAAAACTCACCTTTGATCAGCAAAATGACTTAACTTTGATCACCAAAATAGCTTGATTGTAACTCTACACCCTTGCCTCATTTAGCATACGTGGTTCTATGAATATGCAAATTAGCCCCAACTCCACTCTCTCACAACAGCTCAGAGATCCACTTGTTGACGATCACACACTGACCTGATTGGTTACAGTTTGTGACGTCAGAAACAGCAGTGATTTCAAACCGCGTTTTAGAAACTGTCTTTGGTTTACTGCAGTTTTAAGGAGAAAATACTCAGCGATGGTGTTGACATGAATTTACACATGGTTTGTCTTAAGCATATTACTGTAAAAACACCACATAGACATATAAACAACATTAAATGCTGCATTTCCCCAAAGGAGGACTTCAAACATGCAAATATATATACAGTATATATAGATTAAATAAATAGATAGATAGATAGATAGATAGATAGATAGATAGATAGATAGATAGATAGATAGATAGATAGATAGATAGATAGATAGATAGATAGATAGATAGATTTTTCAACATATCTGCTGATAAGGTACATTCATATGGATAAGTTTCCTCATATTATTACTGAAACTATATTAATGTGCCTAAAAACACAATGTTTCTTACTGTGTTGGCAGTGGACACCATCGAAGCCAAGTGGACATCTGCACAAATATCCGACAAAAGTGTCACCGCGGTAGGTCTCACTCAGTTCACACACCCCTCCGTTGTGACACGGGTTTGGGCGGCAGATCCCTGAATCAGAAAAACACAGTATCTGAAATCTGCAGGATTCATTTGAAGTGGTATTTATTTAAAGTTATGTATAAGTGAACTTGATGTTCAGTGTGCTTGATCACACGCACTATTCCCACAAGGTGATTATTATTTCATGCCTTTCAGCTCAGTCTGAACATCACACTAAATACTGCATAGGCTGTAAAAGATGATTCCAGAGTGTGACTTCCTAATGAATGCTAAGCAGGTGTTTAAATGTGAATTAACAAGTGAATGGAAATCGAGGCTGACATCATTTCTGTTCATGGCTCATAAACGAACATAAGCCATCTGCTTAATATGGCATTTATATCTGGAGTCTCAATGAGGAATCTCTTTTGAACGTTTCTTGAAATGAAGAGAACAGAGCATTAAAGGAGACTTCAAATAAACAAACTCACCGATTTCAGATTGCTCTTCCCAGCCTGATGCTGTTGAGAGAGCAGAATGTAGTTTGTTAAATTCTAATATCCTCTATGCTATTGCTCACTATTCCCAATTAGATGAAAGAGTTCCACTACAGACTTTAAGTTAATTTACAGGAAAAGAATGTAAAAATGCTACAGTATAAAAAAATGATTTGGTTAACACACCACTTAAGGTGCCTTATCATACTGTACGTTTATTATATATAATTGTATTGTAAAATACTGTCAAATAAAAACTATGATTTAATATTTTACAGTGAAAAACACTAAAAGGACATTCCCATAAGTCTCTGCATGACACCACATATGATTCTATTTTTGTTTAAATAATTTTGTAATTTTGTAAGCCAAAATTCTGATCTAAAGAAGCATCTAGCAACTCAAGAACAGCCAAAACAGATTCTTGATCCGAAAAGGGTTCTTTGCTGAGTTTAAGAATCTTTGGAGAAGCTTTATTTGTATGAGTTTGGAGAAATAAAACATCACTTTAGGCCAGTTCACACCAAGAACGATAACGATAAAGATATAGTTGTAAAAATCATTTAAAATTTTAAACGAATAGCAGAGTCCACACCACAACTTTAACGATAAAAAGGCAAATAATATCGTTAGAATCACTTTCAGAATGACTTTTTCCCGGCTGACAAACGATTAAAACACTGACAGCCAATCGGAATCCATCATGCTTTAAAGGGATAGTTCACCCAAAAATTAAAATTAAGTCATTAATTACTCACCCCCATGCTGTAACGACCCCGTAAGACCTTCGTTCGTCTTCGGAACACAAATGAAGATATTTTTGATTAAATTTGAGAGCTATATCCCAACCACATAGGCAACCTAAAGGATTGAAACTTGACGGCCCAGAAAGTCAATGAAGAAAATGTTTAAATATTCCATTGGCTCAACTATAAGTTTATCAAGCGACGAGAATACTTTTTGTGCGAAAAAACAAAACAAAAATAATGACTTTATTCGACTATTCCTTTTCTTCCTTCTGGGCCTGAGACGAGAGTTCAAGAGATTTCCACGACGCATGCATGCATCGTGGAAATCTCTTGAATTTTTGGGTGAACTAATCCCTTTAACGAGCTCGAGCATTTAAAGGGCCAGACGATAAATTTTAGTGAATATGCTTAGAATAAACAAAACGATGTCGGTGAGGACGCTTGTCAATATTGTTCTTCATGTAAAAGGGCCTTTAAACCTTGCAAACTCATGATATTTCAACACTATCTCACGACCAATTCGTACGAATTCGACGCATGATTAAAAAGTGGCTAATTCGTACTAATTCGTACGACCTCACTCGTACTAATTCGTACGATTTGTCTAAACCCACGTGATGGTTAGGTTTAGGGGCGGGGTAAGGGGTAGGTCATTCGTACGAATTCATACGAATTGGCCAATTCGTAAAATATGTAAGATTTAGCAAAATCGTATTAATTCGTACGAGTGAGGTACTACGAATTACGAATTAGCCACTTTTTAATCATTCGTCGAATGCGTACGACTTGGTTGTGAGATCGGGTTGGATATTTTGAAAACTCAAGTCAGAGGCACATATCGCTCAAATGTTGTCTATACAGAGACAAATTTCAAGAAATTAAATCTCATGGGCCTTTTCGGCTTCTTGAATCCAAAATGACACATTAAAAGTGGCTTTAAAAACTCACAGGAAACATTTTCTTCAGCTGGTGTACTGGGACAGTCAGCACCGTTCTCACACGGAACCGGTTCACATACTTCACCTACAAAACGTGTAAACGTGTAAATGTGTAGCCATACTGTATAAACAGGAAATGAATACATCACAAGTTAACTTACAAGTTAAGTCAACTCTATAACTTGGAAATGTGTGTTGCAGACAGATGCACATGAGTTTGTGATTCTATCCTTAGCCACTCTGTCATTTCCACCTGAATTATTCAGCCACAGGAATCTGGACTGGAACTTTTGAGTGTTTACACAGGTGTCCGTGTCGGCTAAACTTTGGAATACACTTGCTGACTATTAAAGATGCAGCGCAGATGTTTGGGGATGACAAAATGTCAGTGCTTCAGAAATGTGAAAGGTTAAATGAGATAGAAAATAGGAGAAAATCCTTTGTGTTTAAAAAGAAACACAGCTGTTGGAGCTGTCTATGTTCACAATGACCCGACACAACCCAAACTAAGAGTGGATTATAGCACGATCCACATGGTACAATGAATTTCACACTGACAGGAATGTTTATTGTGTTTTGTTCATTGATACAAAATCACTGGCACTGAAAAGTTGCTGCAATTTGATTATGGATAGCACAGTAAATCGGAAAAGAAAATGAACGATTCCTCAAACCTAAATGTACCAAGGTACTGTAATTACAGTTTCCACCAAAAAGTAAGGCTAGATAACACTTTAACTCCACTAACAAAAAATACTATGGTATCATGGTAATACTGTAGTTTTACTGCAACCTATTACATGGTAGATGATATGGTTTGTATATTTTACTGTAAAAAAAACATGGTATTGTGGTGGAAACTATGTCTCATAGTTTCTAATAATCATAATATTCATTTTAATAAATGATAGATAGGTATGAAGCTAAAAACAGTTATAACTCTTTCACAACAACAACAACCCAGTTGATTTCTAATGACATCTCAGTGACAGTATACTGAGTCATTCGTAAAGGTCAGCAAGAGATGCACATGACATTTAACAACAATCACACTGAGTTCAGCCATTACAAACACCAAGGTGATGTTTCAGGCTTGCAGATTAAAGTCTTTTTTTTAATGGATATTTATTGTGCAGATGACCTCTGGATCACCTCAAAGTAATATCAAACAAATATCACAGATCATAACAGCGTTATGAGCAATGAAACATGCACAAGCAGGCGTTTTACTATTCATTGCCATCTTTATGTCAAGCAGCTGCATGTAGGCTACTTGGATTAATATTATATTTAATTGAACGTCTGTTAGAGGGCGCTGATCAAGTGCTCATAATCCCGAAATAACCCGACATCTCATTATCATCTCCCTCATGAATTATGTGTGAGGACGTTTGAATAAAACACCGAAAGTGATGCTGCTGATATCCGACCTGTGAATAAACGCATTAAACGTTGTCTGGAAGTTCTGACGTGTGTGTGATGAACTTAATCTAGGTTTGTTTTGTGCAAATGCGAGTCGTATGTAAAACACAGAGAGTTGTGTTCAGTGAACTCACCCGTGGATGTCGGATGTGGGATGGACGCGGCAATGCGGGCGACCAGGAACAAAAATAAAGGAAGCATCGCGAGGAAACTTGTGTATGTCCTCTGGTTCTCCAGCAAAGCCTCGATCCTTCCCGTGTTTCAGCTGTGATGATGCAGATAGAATGTCAGAGAGATGCTGTGACTCCGAGCAGTGCTGCTGATGCTGCTGATGCTTCTTACTGCAGTGATGAAGATGATGATGGAGACTCGACACAGGCAGGATTCACAGCATCAGTGAAGACGCACCCACTGATCCATTCATCCGTTCATCAAATAATAAACTTTAATATCTATGGCATACAGGGAATTACGTAGCTAGCTGAAAAAAAAAATCAAAACAAAGAAAGAAATGAAAGAAAAAAATAGCCTATAAGGGCACGTATAGCCTATGGCAACTTGATTTGACTCTCCAATATCCTTAAAGTGCACGTGCAAATGTAAAATGTAATATTGTCTCATCTTACTTTACAAGAAAATAAAAACGTCTTACATCGAAGATAGGCTAATCATAGGCTATTTTGTGGTGTGTTCTGATTACTGATATGATTACAAACATGTTCACATGTATTGATGTTCTTCATTGCGTTCATCCATTTACATTAGGCCTATAGCTTGACGATAACCTCAAAGTTGTGTGTGTGTGTGTGTGTGTGTGTGTGTGTCTGCCGCCCTCTGTAGTTCAACAAGAGGAAGTAACAGCATTCGACAAAGTATCAAGAAGCTTCGAATTAATTAATAATTTAACCCGATTAAGTAGGCTATACTCATCTTTAATTATTAAAACTGTATAAAGTTGCAATAAAACATCTTTAAAATCATTATCTTTAAAAATAAATAACAAAAAAACAATAACAGCAACTATATTCATAATTTATGATTGTGATTTACAGTATCAACATTAATCTTAGGTGACTGTGTATGGTAGAAACCATTGTTACCATGCTATTTTTTGTGAAGGGTGGTAAGGCACGGGCACGCGTCATGAACGCGGCGGGCGGGCTCACGCGTGGTGGGAGTGTTTGAGGGGCGCGAGGGCTGCGCGAGACTTCACAACACAACTCTCAACATGAAACTAGCCAAAGTGAGTGATACAAAAGTAACGAAAAACTTCCTTAACGTCGTTTTTAACATCTCTTCCCCACTCTTTAACACTCCTGCCTGACTGTTAATAAGCCTACGCGCTTAACTAACCTCAAACGCTGGACTTTTGTGGTGTCAATCTTGGCCAGAACCAAACTAACGTTGAGCTAACGAGCTAACGCACATAGCCGTCTTTTGTATGCACATTTGATTTTATTCTGGTTTTCTTTAGGCTTCTTCTTGCTAAAATACACTTTTACAGTTCCTCATAATAGTTTTAATGTTTACACCCAGATAAATTAAATCTTGTGATTCCAAAGGCAAAATGTGCTAGCATGTGTTAAAAAAATAATTAATATTTATAAGTCGTATTCCAGTAGTTTGAGTTACTGTGTCTTTCCTATTTTCAGATAAGGAGAAAATCAAACATTGAAGACCTGAAGCTATCTGTCTTGTGTTAGACCTAAACCAACACATTGAATTAGAGGGGAAACTGTCTCCTAAAAGGGAATAAAGGTGTAGTTGTGGGTTTCAGGAGGGGAAACCCTCCTGAACATAGTCAGCTTTCATTGTCAACTTCCCCGGGTGACAATGATGACAACCCAGGGTGGTGGCGATGAGCCTGATCCCTTTTCGGTGGTGACCCGGTTGGCAGGGGCAGGAGGAGACGGTACCACCCATTTACCAGCCTGTTGCACCCAGGGGATACAGATCTCGGACCTGAGCTCAACTTTGTCTGCTGTTTTACCTCCTAAACAGCCTCCTGGGATCACATATTCCGTATTTGGGAAGGATCCGAGACCTGGAACAGTCATGTTTGCCTCAAAGGGAGGTGGCATCACTGCTGGACATGTTATATTGGGGTCTTTTTCAGGAGTTGGGAGAGGGATGTCAGATCCTACACAGGAAGGTGCTGTCGGTCAAATACCATCCACATTCCTGAGTCCCGAGGTGTGCCTGGCAGCCCCTTCGTTTCACTCGCTGGGTATAGTTGAAGAAGGTGATGCTCTGGATGTGCAGGAAATTGGAGAGGATGAGGAAGTTGTTTTAACCCTCACTGCACCGCCTCCTAATCAGTAAGTCGCTGTAAAATGACATTTTGCATCCTATGAGTGGATAGCTCTGAACTGTGATGAAAATAGTAAAAGTACATAATGGAGTTTGTAACTCGACAGGTGGTATCATGGGAAGCTGGACCGGATGATTGCAGAGGAGCGTTTGCTTCAGTCCAGGGCGGCGGGTAGCTACCTCATCAGGGAGAGTGACCGCAGACCAGGCTCATTTGTGTTATCTTTCCTTAGCATGACCAACACAGTCAGCCATTTCAGGTGTTTGTTTTTTATTCCCTTCATCTTTCTCCACAGCATCAGTGTCTAATCAAACCACATCTTTGTAATGAGCCATCACTAATGATCATGATACATTTTTTTTCGGTTTCTTTCATTTAAATGTAAAATATTTGATAATGAGCTGGTGTCTGTGGTGACCGGAGTAATGAATGTTTACAGGATCATCGCCATGTGTGGAGATTACTACATTGGAGGCCGTCGTTTCTCTTCTCTGTCAGATCTGATTGGTTACTACAGTTACGTGTCCTGTCTGCTGAAAGGAGAGACGTTGATATCACCAGTCGCCCCTCCAGAGGTAGACTTTTGATGTTAACGTTTTGTATTATTTATTAACATAAAAATTGACTGTCATTTCCATAATATATAAAAAACCATACGTTTTGTTTTCTAAGCCCGTTGAAGACCGCAGGAGGGTCCGAGCAATTCTCCCATACACCAAAGTGCCCGAAACTGATGAGATCAGGTCATTTGATTTTATTAATATTTTATTTGGAGTCAGTAAGATTTTTTTTCATAGAAAATAACAAGGACACTTTATTTTGGTCAAAAGGGACAGTAGAGACATTTATAATATTACAACTGATCTTTAACTTTCTATAATTCAAAGTATCAATGTAATGTTTAAAAAAAAGTATCAAAAAATATTTCCAACCCTAAACCTATACATTTATAATATATACACACACATACAAACACTCACATATATCCTAAAAAATCTTCACTGACACTTTTTATTTACTGTTATAGAATGTATTAATATGTTATGTTTTTAGATATTACGTTTATATTTTAAGTTTTATTTAAAATGTTAGTACATTTTTTTGTATTTTTTTATATTGTGTTGTATTATTACTATTTATGTTAAATGATTTTTAGTTCTTTTTAATTTCCATTCAGTAATTTTAGTGATTGTGGATTTTTTTAAATAATAAAATATGTATGTGTGTATATAGATAAAATAATAATGATAAAAATGTCATTGTGATTAAATTTTACTTAAATTTACTTCTTTTGCTCACAGTTTCTTCAAAGGTGACACATTTATAGTTCATAATGAACTGGAGGATGGCTGGTTGTGGGTGACAAATGTCCGAACAGATGAGCAGGGACTCATAGTTGAGGACCTAGTGAAAGAAGTGGTGAGTGGAAACACTTTCGATTTTAAATGGGGCCGGAGCAACGATTAATAGCGATTAATCGCATCCAAAATAAAAGTTTGTGTTTACATAATATATGTGTGTGTACTGTGTATAATTATTTTGTATATAAAAAAATCATACACATGCAAGTATATATTTAAGAATTTTTTTTATTAATATATCAAATATTAATATTAATATTTAATATAAATGATGTATAAATATTTACATTATATACATATGCAAATATTTCTTAAATATATACACGCATGTGTGTGTATTTATATATGCAACATAATTATACACACTACACACACATATATTATGTAAACACAAACTTTTATTTTGGATGCGATTAATCACGATTAATCTTTGCCCGGCCCTATGTGTCAGTTATTGGAAGATTATCAAAAGATACAGTATTGACAGAGGTTGTGCTTTCATAGGGACGTGAGGAAGACCCACATGAGGGGAAAGCGTGAGTTTAATTTGTTTTGATTTCTAGTTGAGAAGTAGTAATGCATTACAAACATAAAATGAATAGGAATATCTTCTGTTCGATTTAGCTGGTTTCATGGCAAGATCAACAAGCAAGAGGCTTATAATCTACTGATGACAGGTCTGTCCGGAAAAAAAAGAAAAAAAAAAACATTTAAAAGAAATAAATAGCACTTGCTAAACTTCTGTAATCGCTCTCCCTAGTCGGGCAAGTGGGCAGTTTTTTAGTGCGGCCGTCCGACAGCACACCTGGGGACTATTCGCTGTACTTCCGCACCACTGAGACCATTCAGCGCTTCAAAATCAGCCCAACACCCAGCAACCAGTTCATGATGGGAGGCCGTTACTACAACAGGTGATGCAATTTGCAAGTGTTTCAAGGCTTTTGGAACATATAAATTGAGTTTCATGACACACATTGTGTTTTCTTGGCTATGTTTGAACAGTATCGATGACATCGTTGCACACTACAGGAAGGAACAGATAGTTGAGGGCCACAACCTTAAAGATGCTCTATCTGTCCAAGTACGTACAACAATTTGGAAAACTCTAAAAAAAAAAAAAAAAAAAAAATGATGTTATTGTGTCAAATGTTTTAAAATGTGTGATTTCATCAGCACCAGGAGCAGGTGCTTACAGACATCGTCGAAGGCAAAGAAATCTACAACACTATCCGTCGAAAGACCAAGGATGCTTTCTATAAAAACATTGTGAAGAAAGGTTATGTCCTGTTCAATAAAGGTATCGCCAATGCTTCAGAGTAAATGTACGTTGAAGGCATTATCAAAATAATTTTACTAAGATATTGTCTTGTGTCTTTTATAGGAAAAGGAAAAAGATGGAAAAACCTATATTTCATCCTTGAGGGTAATGATTCCCAGCTGATCTACTTCGAGAGTGAGAAACGAGCAACTAAACCAAAGGGTTTAATTGATTTGAGTGTGTGTTCTGTGTATGAAGTCCATGACAGCATGTTTGGCAGGTTTGTTTCTCGCTGTATTATGTGCTTACAGTGGTTCAACTTAAAATTCACTTGAACTAAAAATAAGCATTTTTTTTTTGCAGGCCAAACTGTTTCCAGATAGTTGTGCAGCACTTTAGCGAGGAGCAGTGTGTCTTTTACTTTGCAGGCGAGACACCGGAACAAGCTCAGGTAACGATTCTTTCATTAGCAATGTTGGCTAATACACTATAATT